GAGTTTTGGCAAGCTGTTAAGGGCTGCACCCTTGGCAAGTGCCCTGCCCCCTGGTCACCATGTTGGGACTGGAAGTCCTACCCCTGACCTTTGCCACCGGAAGTTGCTCCCCTTATTCCTGAAAGTGCTCCTTTTGGGGGTGGGGAGCAGTGCCATCCTGGAACCAGAAAAAAAATGAATTGTATACTAAAAGTAGGGTGACCACCTTTTTAAAATGTAAAGGTGGGAAACATGCCTGCCTCCCACCCCCCACTGGTAGTGCTGCTGGAGCCAAGCCATAAGGGGCAGAGGTGGATGTGGGCTGCCAGCTCAGGACTCCCCACCCTGCTGCCTTTCTCCTGGGAGTCCCTTGCTGGGTGTGTCCCCCCTGTGCCTCCCTGCCTCCCCTGAAGCAGTGGGCACCAAAACTCCAATGTGCTGCAATTTCAATCAAGTCTGCTGGACTGTGGGATACTATTAAAGTAGTATTAATAGTATTAAGTGGATACTATTAAACGGTGCTCCAGCAGACTCCAGCATCATGTGTATCAGTGTCCCCAGATTGAAAAATGGTGGCAGAGCCACTCTAATTAAAGACACCCCCACCTCCTGAAATATGTATAAATGCCCTAAGGAAGCATACCAAGAAATAGTAAGACCTTGCAGGAACAAAATCAAAGAAGCAAAAGCAAAATATAAGTTATAGCTAAGGCTATGTGTAGACAAAACAAGAGGCATGTGTGCACAACACTTTAAAGTGGGCTAAATGCTTTTGCACCACTTTAAGGATATTGGTGTTTGCATGCCTCGGCAGCATATTGTGCATTAATTCCAGCTGCTATAGGAAATTCAGCGGCGTAATGCGCCTTAAATGACTTCGGGCACAGAAAACATACAGCCGCAGAGCAAAGCACTGGGCTCTGTGCAGCTCCGCGGTTGTGCAGGAAGCCCATGCAGGCAGCCTAGCAGCAGCCTGGGAAAGTGGGCTCTGCCCCAGAAAAGTGGCGAGCCTGATCTGTTCCCTGCCCCCCCGCCCCAAAGCCTGCCTGCCTGAGCTACACAGGGGCCTGGTGCTTCCCTCTGTGGCTGCGGTACCCCCTGGGACTGCCTGAGCCAGGTGCCTGCAGGCAGGTGCTGTCGGGGGCAGGGGGTATTGCTGCTGCTGCCGAAGGAAACACCAGCGCCACCCCGCAGCCCAGGGACTGCTCTGCCCGCCAGCAGCTTGTCCTCCCTTCCCTGACAGAGAGGCAGGTAAGTCAGCAGGGTGTGTGCACAACACAGGGGTTTAATCAGCTCTAAATTGAAGTGGTGTTTTTTAAAACCCACCACTTCAATTTTGGGCTCCCATTTCATCTACATATGGCCTAAATGACTAATCATAGATTTGATCTAAGCTATGCAATTTTGTTGAAAAATTGCCTTTTGTCAATACAGGTTTGCATTAATCTACACACAAATTTAATATAAAATGGCAAAATCTGGCCTGTCACCCAAATAAAACCATCTCCCTGGATTACACTAGCCCCCAACCATGTTGTAGCTGGCAAAATGCCAGCATAGAAACATTCCAGGAAATCAGCCATGTGAACAGTTGTACATTTTAGTCTCCTAGTAAACTCTGGTGACCTTTGACTTCTGCAAGTACAACCTCTGACAGTGAAGATATCAGCACCAGCAAAGGAAGTCAAATATGTGTCATGTACTTATGATGACAGCTGTAAACCAATAAAAGTTCTACTATTAGACTAGGCTTGGCCCCAGCTCACTGTTGTAAACGGTTTATTTGTGACAAACTTAATTTTTCTTAAGCCTATATATCTTCTTTAGCCCTATGCTCTTTCTTGACAGCAAACATCCTAGTGCAGGGGGCAGCAAAATTTTGCCCCCTCCCATCCTGTGTCACAGCTTGCCATCCCACTCCCTGCCACAGGATGCAAATCTCCATCTCCCCAACTCCAGCTGCTTGTGCTTCCTTCACTGCAGAGAGGGCTGTGAGAACAAGAGAAGGCTGCTAAGGAGGGTGCTGTGGAAGAAATGGGCAGCTCAGCACATCTGTGTGCTGCTCAGTTCCTTGTGCCTTAGTCTGTGTTGGACCTTCCAGAACCAGAATCCAGCCTTTGTGAGCTGAAGCCAGATCCAGCCCAGGGGCCATAGGATGCCAACCCTTGTCCTAGTGGAATGGCTTCAAAAACTATTCCAAATAAAAGAGCCAATGCAGAGAAACAGGACTGGTGCCTGGTGAATTTTGGGACTGGTTGTTCAGTGTTCCACACCTATATGTATACTAGATAAGTGCTTAAATCACACTACTGTATAATACTATACCCGTCCAAACTTGTTGCCTATTTGTACATTGTAATAAACAGTAGTTAGCTGAGTATCAGTTAAATGCATAAATCCTTCAAATATGTACTATCTTTCAGTACCAGTCTACTTTTGAAAAGTAATTATTTATATTATTACATAATAACTGTATTTGTCTACTGTGTAACTATTATCCTCCATTTAACTGCACTGGAGATGGTAAAGTGTATGCAGCTTGCAAGGGCTGTTATTAAGAAATTTTAAAACATGAAAGGAAACATAGCTGCTCTCCTCATTTTCAAGGCTTCTAATAATTAGTTTGGGGATAGGTCCTTGGAGCTTTGAAAACAAAGGGACTTAGTCTGAGATTGCCAACTGCTGATATAAACAGTTTTTTCAGTATTGTGTATTAGCAATGTTTTGCAATGTAATCCAGTTTGGGTCCAAAACTGCCACTGCTAGGACTTGGCTGCTGCTACCATTAGCACTGTCACTGCCACTTCTCTCTTCTACCCAGCTGCAGCATGGCACAAATAAAGCTTTCCACTGTTAAAGCCCCAGCTCCGTGGGCCAGATTCAGTAACTCTGTGGTTACTGTTCTCTGGTGTATATAATGATTAAGGCTGGATTAAGTTTGGATTAAGGCTCTTAATAAGACTTTTTCTGTCCTGAGGTTAAACAGAGTACACTGCATATAATGTGAGGCAGCACTGGCTGGACCTAAATGCTTGGGCTGAAATCCTGACCTTACTGAAGTTAATGACAAACTCCCATTGACAGCACTGGGACCAGGACTTACTCTAAATGTCACTGTGGCTTGGCATATCTTTGGACAATACCTGGATAATACCCTGCTTTCTCTCAAGGCATGATATAATTATCAGAAAGTTACTTTGTAAGGCCTTAGGGCCAGAAGCGTTCAACCGACCAGACAGACATCTCAAAAGGTAAATGAAATTCTTTGCTAATGCATCCCTTAGCATGAAGCTGGTGAGTAATATGTAGGTAAATAGCTCACATATTCACTGATCATCTGCTCTTAAAATGAAAGATGCATAATATGAAAAAGATTATCTGTAAGGGCATGGGACCTACCTTGACACTAAGGTTCATATTGTCTTTAGTAACTTCATGAGATCATGCAACACATGTGGTTACAAGTATCTACTGGTTTCAAGAATTCAGCCGAAACTTGAGTTGATGTTTTATGGTGATGGAAGTTTCACAGGGAAAAAAATGCTTCAAAGTGAGAGAGACAAAAGCAGCTCTTCCTTAAGGCCTAGTTTTTTCCACAGAAACTTACCAGCCAACCTAAACCATTTGTTTTGGATTCTAGATACCTAGGATTAGGGACCTACTTAATTTGCAGTTTTGCAGATTGTCTGCAAAATCAACCCAAAAAAAGAGTGCTGGCTCCCCAGTGGAAGCCAGCAGTCCTTGCTGCTGGTAGAGGAAGGTGCTGGCTGGCAGGGTGGCACAAAGGGCAGCCAGCAATCAAGATGACGGCTGTCCCCTCATTCCTTCTTCCGCTTGGGCCTCTCTGCCAGTCAGTACTGGGGGGCAGGGCCTCTCCATCAATCAGCGCCTAGGGGTGGGGCAAAAATACTGTGAAATCGGCTTTGTGCATCATGAAAAACCCTGTCTCTCTGTGATTTAGGTACGTTCCTACCTGCGATCAGCATGCCTTTGAGGAAAATACAAACCGTTGCTGCCAGGGTTCAGAGTGAACATCCCATCATCATCCACTTTAATAGTATGCCACAGAAGGAAAGTAAAGACCCATTTATCCCAGGTTGTTCCTAGACAGGTATAGGCTACTGAATTCAGTTAAGAGAAATTTACTACATGTGTAGTCCCACCTCTATCAGAGAAATGTCCTTGAGATAAAGAGGGTTGACTAAGACATGGTCTGTTATCCAACTCCCCCTGGAAAGCAAGGACACGATGTGCATAGATGCCTGATTAGAAAAGATTAGAGGGCTGAGGCCTATCATGGTAGTCAGGCAGTTCCACTTTCATGTGGGAAAAGAGAACTCAAAATAGAGTAGGAAGGGAAGCTTGGGGGCGTGCCTAAGAGCAGGGGCAATGGAGGAGGCTAGATGAACAATGGTGTGCTGCAGGGGGAGAAGATAAAGAGGAAGAAAGGAAGTTGCTAGGTGGATGGGACAGGCAGAGCAGAAGTTGTGCTAATAGATCTGAGGCAGTTCTGTACTGGCACTTGACTAAAGTAGCAAGGGATCTCGACAGCCTGCTTCAACCAAGTCATCTGCTTCAGGAATGCCCTGTGGAAGACAGGGAACCAACACATAAACATACAAACCTCCCAGTCAAGGGCAGCATTAAAATGGAACTGAGTGTGATGTACTGGTACAGCAGGAAGACAGTAAAAGATGATGGGAGGGAGCTAGCAGACATCCTATGGAAGAGAAGGGACTGGCATACACTGTTTGGAAACAAGCGCTGCAAAGAAAGCAACGATGAACATGATGATGAATGAAAGGATGGGCAAACAGGCAGAGGAGCTGGGAAGGGAGGGGAGAGGATGCTTTGCATAATTGAGACAGTTAAAGGTGACAGTGACAGGTGCACGGGCACACAGAACACAGGTGCGCAGTGCCGTTTTTGTAACTGGAATAAGAATGGTGTAACTGGAACGTGTTTTGGACTGTCAAGTGAACCACAGCAGTCAGGGGAGGTTGGCAGGGTGGTGTGTGCAAAAAACCACAAACCAAACCAAAACAACCCAGGCCAGCCAGAGACAAGCTGGGACTAGGTAGTGAAGGAGGGAATGGGTGCAAGAGGTTGGGGGACAAAGCAGATGGGGGTCCGGACTCACAGAGAGGAGTTTCAGAGGGGAAGGGCAAGAGGGGGCCCCTTCCAGTCCCTCTGGGAGGAGGCTCCAAACATCTGCTGCCACCCTGGCGCTGGGGATTTCTACCCCTTCCCCTCCCTACAGCGGCTCCGTACGGCGAGTGAGGCGCTGCAAAGCCAGCAGGGCGGCGGCTGCCCGCTGAGCCCGGGGGATAAAGGTTGCGCCGCGCGCTCTCGGGGCCCAGCCAGTCGCGGGCTCTTCGCCGGGCCGGGCCAGAGCGTGGGGCTCCGGCAGCAGCTCCGCTTCCCTCCCTCCCTCCTCGTGCGTTGGCATCCGCGGGCCTTCCGCAGCGGCGCCGCCATGGCCGGGCGGCGCGGGGGGTTTCTGCAGGAGGCGTCTCACCAGATCGCAGCGGGCGGCTCGGCCGGTAAGTGGGAGCCGCGGGCGCCGCGCGGGGGGGCTCGTTCCCGGGGCGGGGC